CCGCATGTCAACCATTTCGGCACCTACTTCACACGGTTCGTAGCCCCATTGGAGTTCCACCGAAGGGCCAAGTGGCAGGGTCCGTACGCGCCTGACGCCCATTCTCGCACACCCCTCACACGGTTCGTGGCCCCATAGGGAGCTTCACCGAAAGCCCCAGTGGCAGGGTCCGCATGCGCGCGACGCCCATTTTTGCACACCCTTCGCACGGTTCGTGGCCCCATAGGGAGCTCCACCGAAGGCCCCAGTTGCAGGGTCCGCATGCGCCCGACGCCCATTTCACACAACCCTCACTCGGTTCGTGGCCCCATGGGGAGCTTCACCGAAAGCCCAGTGGCGGGGTCCGCATGCGCCCGACGCCCATTTCGGCACACTTCGAGGCATCGTAGGGAGCTCCACCGAAGGCCCCAGTGGCAGGGCCCGCATGCGCCCGACGCTCATTTTGGCACACCTCTCACACGGTTCCGTGGCCCCACAGGGAGCTTCACCGAAGGCGCCAGTGGCAGGGTCCGCATGCGCCCGACGCCCATTTTGGCACTTCCCTCACATGGTTCGTGGTCCCATAGGGAGGGAGTTCCACCGAGGGCCCCGTTTGCGGGGTCCGCATGCGCCCGACGCCCATTTCGGCACACCCCTCACACGGTTCGTGGCCCCGTAGAGAGCTCCTCCGAGGGCCCCAGCGGCAGGGTCCGCATGCGCCCGACGCCCATACACCCCTCACACAGTTCGTGGCCCCATAGGAAGCTCCACCGAAGGCCCCAGTGGCAGGGTCCTCATGCGCCCGACGCCCATTTTGGCACACCCCTCACACGGTTCGTGGCCCCACAGGGAGCTTCACCGAAAGCCCCAGTGGCAGGGTCCGCATGCGCCCGACGCCTATTTTGGCACACCCCTCACACGGTTCGTGGCCCCACAGGGAGCTCCATCGAAAGCGGTACCCACAAGGCGGTATTTACGACAGCGTATGGTTGGGTTCTTCGCAAGGATGATTGTTTGCGGCGCGCCTTTTGGTTTTCGGTGTCCGTGTCCTTTTGGTTTTCGGTGCCCTTTTGGTTTTTGGTGCACCTTGGGTTTTCGGCGCTCCTTTTTGTTTTCGGCGCCCCTTTGCTTTTCGGCGCCCTTTTGGTTTTCGGCGCCCCTTTGGTTTTCGGCGCCCCCTTTGGTTGTCGGCGCCGTTTGGGTTTTCGGCGCCCTTTTTGTTTCCGGCCCTCCTCTGGTTTTCGGCGTTCCTTTGATTTTCGGCGCTCTTTTGGTTTCCGGCGCCCCTTCGGTTTTCGGCGCCATTTCCGCTGTTGGCGCCCGTTGGGTTGTCGGCGCGCCTTTTGGTCTTCGATGGCCCTTCGGTGTTCCCCGCTCTGTTGGTCTTCGGCGCCCTTTTGGTTTCCGGCGCCCCTTCCTTCAAGGCGAGGTGGGGGGAGCTCCCAAGGCACCCCCCCCGTCCCTTCAGCCAAAGAGGGGGGGAGGAGCAGGAGGCTTCCGGCAGGGGGGGGTCCAAAGGGAACGGGGGGGTAGCTAAGCCCCCCCTTTCGGAAAGGGGGGGGGGAGGGGAAGAAGCTTCCGGATCGCGACAGGGGGGAGGGGGGGGGAGCTTCCGAAGGGCGGAAGAAAAGGGAGGAGGGGGGGGGGTTCGGCAGGGGGGTGTCCAGGGGGGGGTAGCTAAGTAGCTAAGCCCCCCCTGGAAAGAAGAGTGGGGAGGGGGGGGCAGCTTCTGGGGTGTGCAGGGGTGGGGGGGCTAGCTAAGCATGTCGGACCGATTAATACCGACGGGTGCCAATTACAACCGACCTGGCCACTTCTCAACCGGCCAAAAAACCAATGGGTACCAATTACAACCGACCATCTTGGGCCTACACTACGCTTCCCTTTGTACAGATGTTTAGGACGATCCAGACATCAAATGAACGTCCTGAGGGTGCACATTCATTCTGGGAAGCAACATGAGTGCCCAGGTTGATATTGGTACCAGCTTATTTCTGGGATCTGGGAGCTGTGTGGTTCGCAACAGCACTTCGCAATAAAGCATACCACTCCAAATCAGCAACATCTATCCAACACAACAATATATATATATATATATATATATATATATATATATATATATATATTCGCAACACATACCTGCAGCAACACATATCGAACGCCCGATGTATCGTCCTCGTTGTCCTCGGCCGTTCCTACCTTCCTCCTTGTCCTGCCACTTCCCTCCTCCTCCCTCTCCTTCTCCTCCTCCTCCTCCTCCTCCTCCTCCTCTTCCTCCTTCTCCTCCAGGAGTCCCCAGGTTTTCTCCGAAATCCGCCGGGCATCCTTCAAACATCCACCAACAAGCATGTGTAGAGATCCCTCGGAAAACCTTCAGCAATCCCCGAGAAGTGCCCACAGCAATCCTTGGAGCTCCTCCAAGGAGTCCCTGAGGAGCTTCCTTGGAGCTCCGTAGGCATCTCCAAGGAGCCTCTAAGGGAGCTTCTCGGGAGATGCGCAGAAGCCTCCCGGGAGCTGCTTCGGAGCTTGCGGCGAGCCTGCAAGGAGCTTCTAAGGAGTCTTCAGGGAGCTTTTGAGGATCCTCTCAGGAGCCTCTGAGGAGCCTCTGAGGAGCTTCTACGGAGCCTCCAAGGAGCCTCTAAGGAGCCTCAGGACAGGAGCCTCTGAGGAGCCTGTAAGGAGCTTTTTGATGAGCCTCTAAGGAGCTTCTATAACGTCTAGGTAGCTTTCTGAGGAGCCTGCAAGGAGCTGCTACGGCGCTTCTACGGAGCCTCTGAGGATTTCGAAAGAGCTTCCCAGGAGACTACCGAGCCTCTACGTAGCCTCTAACAAACTTCAGATGACCGTTTTCAAACAACCTGAAATGCAGTTGCAATTCGTAACATTTGGTTTGGATTTGGGCCGAAATGGTTGGAATCTGTCCTAGTTGGGGAGGAAGAGGGAGGGAGGAGGGAGGAGGGAGGAGGGAGAGGATAGGATTGAGGAGGGAGGTGGGAGGAGTGAGGAGGAAGCAGGGAGGAGGGAGGAGGAGAAGAAGGATAGGAAGGAAGAGGAGAGGAAAGAGGGAGAAGAGGACCTAAGGGGTACCTAAGGGACCACCCTCTCCCTTGAGAGTGCTCGTCCACGGGCGCGCTCCCTCGGAAGCGCACTGCTGTGAGGGCTGTGCCTACAGGGTTCTGCCACGAGACGCCCGCTGGAGTGCGCCTCCACTCCCCTCCTCCTCCTCCTCCTCCTCCCCTCCTCCCTCCTCCTCCTCCTCCTCCTCCTCCTCCTCCTCTTCCTCCTCCTCTTCCTCCTCCTCCTCCTCCTCCTCCTCCTCCTCCTCCGCCTCCTCCTCCTCCTCCTCCTCCTCCTCCTCCTCCTCCTCCTCCTCCTCCTCCTCCTCCCCCTCCGCGTGCAGGGCCCCGACTCGATGGGAAGTCGCATTCGCGAGCCATTCGGATCCGAATCGTCGTTCCGCTCTGTAGCTCAGGGAGGCTTTGGGTCCGAGAGCTATTTGGTCCGCTTTGCGAGCCAGCGCCGCACCACGATCACACGGCATTGCTCTAGCATGCTTCTCCGGCTCTGCCTCGAGTACTCGGCGCCGCGGCGCTACCGCTCTCTTCCCAGAAGGACTCGAAAGGACTGCGCCCCAGCGCGCATGTGAGCGTCCGTCCGTCCGTCCTTTCTCGTCCTCGCGTCCTCCTCCTCCTCCTCCTCCTCCTCCTCCTCCCGTCCGCCTCCTGCTCCTCCTTCTCCTCCTCCTCCTCCTCCTCCTCCTCGTCGTCCTCCTCCTCCTCCTCCTCCTCCTCCATCCCTTGTCTCATTTCAGAACTTGTCCCTGTCGCACCCCGAGATTTGTTGGCAGGGCGGGCTGGGCGTTTCGGTCGGGGCTCATTCACCGCTCATCATCCTGAAGATCAGGAAACTGAAAAAGTTTCACGGATGGAGGGCGGGTGGCCGTTAAGTGTGGCTGTCGCATCAGCGCCGTACGCATTTGCTTTCAAAGTTTGCAATAGATGCGCTGATGGAGGGTTGGTCGCTTTCAACTGTCGTTCTCGCTTCAGCGCCGCATGCATTCTTTCTGCTTAGCACTTTGCAGTCGGTTCACGGACGGAGGGCCTGTGGTTTTCAGAAATTGGTTCTCGCCCCAGCGCCATGCACATCCACATGAAGAGTTTGCAGAGTGCTTCACTGACGGAGGGCGGATGGCTTTCTGAACGTGGCGCCCGCCTAAGCATGTAGCGCCGCGCGCGTAGCTCCTCGGCACCGCCTGCACCCCGGCCCGCTCTCCGGCCGCCTGAGGCCCCGCCCGCCTGTGCTCTGTCTCCCCAATTTGAGCTTTGCGTAGCCCGCCCAGCTTTTCACCGGAAGAGGCTCGCTCTCGACCCGCAGACCCAAAAATGTAGCGCCGCGCGCATGCGTTTTGAAAGGTTTGCAGGAGTTTTTTGCGGATGGCGGGCGGGTTCCTTTGCAACATGCGGCCCTGGCCCCGTCGCCGCGCACATTCGTTTTCAACATGTGCAGCATAAAGTGCCGTTTTTAATACATGCTCCGCGTGCGGATCATGTATTTAACATGTTGGGATCTAGTATCAAAAACAACGATGAGTTCGTGCATACATTTACACCTAAATTAGTCATGTATTAAAATCCAATGTTTTTAAAATCCCATGTGTTACAAACTGTCCTGTATTTAGATATTCCTAGGGTTGGCGTCCCAGGAATGGCGTTCCGGCACACGTTAGGAATGTCAGGGCGGAACCGTCTTTCTGATTCTCGGTGTTGAAGCCTAGAATTGTGTTTTGGCGCGGTCGAGGAATATCAAGCGATTGCCGTCCAACGCGACGTCCCCTGCAGTGAGAACAGTTTGTGGCCGGGACCTGCGAAGAGGATATTTAGAGGGATGGCTTCATGCAGCATCGCTGATGCGTCTTGGGTTAGTGTTGGTCTTCCTCCTCCTCCTCCTCCTCCTCCTGCGTCTCACCCCCATCCTCTCACGAAACGGGGGTTTGGGGGAGGGGCGTCCCCCCCGCTCCCGCAGGCGTGCGACAGGATCGCGAAGCGCGACGGGGACGACTTCCCCGAGCAGCAGGATCTCGAGGCGCCGACGCGAGGATGATGATGATGATGCTGATGCTGATGCTGATGCTGATGCTGGTGATGGTGATGGTGATGGTGATGGTGATGGTGATGACGATGGTGATGGTGATGATGATGGTGGTGGTGATGATGATGATGAGGATGATGATGATGTCGATTGTTATGCCGATGATGGCTAAGGTTGTGGTCGTGGTGATGATGATGGCGATGATGAGGAGGACGAGGAGTACGGTTATGTTGCTTTTGAAATGGTTGTTGCCGATCGTGATGGCGGCGACAGTGATGGTGGTGTTCTTGATGGTGTTATTGATGCAGATGGTGATGTTGATGGTGGGTGACGATACTGATGATTATGGTAGTGATCGCGGCGGCAATACTGGTTATGCTGATGACTAGTATGATGATGGTGTTGGTGGTGACGCTGGTGCTGCTGCTGCTGCTGCTACTACCCATGACGATGCGACGACGGCGATGATGAGGAGGATGAGGAGGAATGAGGTTCGAGGGTCGAGTCTGGCTGAAGAGAAGGAGTATGAGGAGGAAGTGGAGGTGGAGGAGGAAGGGGAGGATTGGGAGGGGGAAGAAGGGATGATATCGATTTTACAGGAAAGAAGAGGACAAGGCTACGGATAATGACGAGAATGAGGGAGAGGGAGTTCGTGTCCCCTCCTCCGCCCAATCCGCCCCGATCCCTCATCCCTTTCCTTCTGCTTCCTCCTCCTCCTCCTCCTCCTCCTCCTGACAAGCCCTCTTCCCGCTAAACTCACCCCTCCCTTCCTTCCCCCGTATTCTTCTTCCTTTTTTCCCTTTCTTCATAATGTTTCCTCTTCCTCCTCTTGCCCTCGGGGAAGGGGGAGGAGAAGGAGGAGGGAGAAGGGGAGGAGGAAGAGAAGGAGGAGGAGGGGGATGTATACGATGCTTTCAGATAGGACAAGACACGTCTGCAATGCAACACAGGCAGAGACTAAGAGACAAGTGTTGAAGCTTGTACGAGCTCCTCACGGACCATATCATTGCTCTTAGTATGGGAGGGCCGCCTACCCTCACCAACTCGCTTCACGTTTGACAGGGGGTGGGCGCTACTAGCCCCACCTCCGCCAAGACGGCACGCTTGCCGAGTCATCCCGTGATCGTCATGCGTCCACAGGTCGTGCAGATGAAATTTTATCATACCGCATATTGGGCCACATGGATCAGAGGAGGAGGAGGACGAGAAAGAAAAGGAGGTTCCCAGAGGTGTCTGGCGAGCCCCACAGGCTTCTGGAGACACCAGAGGCGGCCGACGACCCAAACAGCTCGACGCCTGATCCTCCGCCTCCTCCGGCTCCCTCCCTCCCTCCCTCCGTTCCTCCCCCCCTCCCCCCCTCATTTCCTCGACTTTCTTCTTCTTCTTCCCTCCCTGCTTCCTCCCTCCATCCCTGAAGCAATGGCGCAATGAAGCTGCCTGAGCATTGCGCCATAAGCGCCGTGCCCCTTGGTCCTTCACATCCACAGTATTGCCTGACGGTTAGAATTCAGCTTGTGTGATTGCACCCCGGTCATCCATTTTTCTCCTGGCCGTGCTTTCCCGCAGGTTTGCAGAGTTGTGAGCACGCGTTGACTGCCATGCCACCGTTGCACCACCACCACGGCTCTCCTCGCGGAGCTCTCCTGCTCCTCCTCCCTCCTCCTCGTCCTCCTTCTCCTCCTCGTCCTCCTCCTCCTCGTCCTCCTCCTCCTCCTCCTTCTCCTCGTCCCCTCCTCCTCCTCCTCCTCCTCCTCTCTCCTCCTCCTCCTCCTCCTCCTCCTCCTCCTCCTCCTCCTCCCCTCGTCGTCCTCCTCCTCCTCCTCCTCCTCCTCCTCCTCCTCCTCCTCCTCCTCCTCCTCCTCCTCCCCTCCTCCTGCTCCTGCTCCTGCCTCCCCTCTCCTCCTCCTCCTCCTCCTCTCCTCCTCCTCCTCCTCCTCCCCCTCCTCCTCCCCCTCCCCCTCCTCCTCCTCCTCCTCCTCCTCCTCCTCCTCCTCCTCCTCCTCCTCCTCCTCCTCCTCCTCTTCCTCTGTCCCTCCGGCCGTCCCTCCCCCCGCTCCTCCTGCGAGCCCGCCCCCGCCCGATCGGCCAGGGCCTCGCCTCGCGGATCCGGGCCGTCGCGTTTCGGGTGCGCGAGCTGCGGCTGTTCTCGCCCAACGAGGAAGCGCCGGCGACGGCGGAGGAGGAGGAGGAGGATAATTCATCTTCAGTAGGTTTCTGATGGCGGAGGAGGAGGAGGAGGAGGAGGAGGAGAGGAGGGCGGAGGCGGAGGAGGGGGAGGAGGAGAGGAGGAGGAGGAGGAGGAGGAGGAGGAGGAGGAGGAGGAGGAGGAGGAGGAGGAGGAGGAGGAGGAGGAGGAAAAGGCGAGTAGGAGTCGAGTTGGCCAGGCCGGCTGGGTCAGGGGGCCCCGCCTGTTCTCATTTTCCTTCCCACATCCATAAGAATGAATTGTGACACAATTTGATTCTGGGATCGGAACGTTCCCAACTCGCAGAAGGAAGACACGCGCGCGCAGCCCCGCTTCCGATGAACCGGCGAAGGGCTGCTCCTCCTCCTCCTCCTCCTCTCCTCCTCCTGCTCTCCTCTTCCTTCTCCTCCCTCTCCTCTTGTCCTCCTCCTCCTCCTCCTCTCCTCTCCTCCTCCTCCTCCTCCTCCTCCTCCTCCTCCTCCTCCTCCTGCTCCTGCTCCTGCTCCTGTCCGTGCTCCTCTCCTCCTCCTCCTCCTCCTCCTCCTCCTCCTCATCCTCCTCCTCCTCCTCCTCCTCCTACCTCCTCCTCCTCCTCCTCTCCCCCTCGGTCCTCCTCCTCCTCCTCTCCTCCTCCTCCTCCTCCTCCTCCTCCTCACCTCCTCCTCCTCCTCTGCTCCTGCTCCTGCTCCTCTGCTCCTCCTGCTCCCCTCCTCTCTCTCCTCCTCCTCCTCCTCCTCCTCCTCCTCCTCCTCCTCCTCCTCCTCCTCCTCCTCCTCCTCCTCCTCCTCCTCCTCCTCCTCCTCCTCCTCCTCCCTCCGCCTCCTCCTCCTCCTCCTCCTCTCCTCCTCCCCCCTCGTCCTCCTCCTCCTCCTCCTCTCCTCCTCCTCCTCCTCCTCCTCCTCCTCCTTTGTTTTTGTCCTTTTTCCTCCCTCTCCTCCTCTTCCTCCTCCTCCTTCTCCTCCTCTCCTCCTCCTCCTCCTCCTGCTCCGTCCTGCTCCTGTTCCTCCTCCTCCTCCTCCTCCTCCTCTCTCCTCCTCCTCCTCCTCCTCCGCCTCCTCCCTCCTCCTCCCTCCTCCTCCTCCTCCTCCTCCCCCCCTCGTCGTCCTCCTCCTCCTCCTCCTCCTGCTCCTCCTGCTCCTCCTCCTCCTCCTCCTCCTCCTCCTCCTCCTCCTCCTCCTCCACGGCGGGGGCGTCGGCGGGCCCGGCCTCGAGAGGGGCCCACGGAGCGGCACGAGACTCGGCCAACGAGGGATGCATGCCCTCGCGGAGCCTGTGGAGGTCCCAGAGCACAGAGGCCGCCGCCCTGCCAGTTCTGACCCGACCCCCTGTTGGGCTACGGAGGGCCTGCCGCTCCATGCCGCAGCAGAGGCCCCCACTGGAGAGGCCGACGCAGCGAGGTCCCTCCGCGGGCGGGCCAGCTCCCGAGGTCGCGAGCCTTCTTCGGGCCCTTCGCACGGACCGTACCCTGAGGAGGAGGAGGATGAGGAGGAGGAGGAGGAGGAGGACGAAGACGAGGAGGAGGAGGAGGAGGAGGAGGAGGAGGAGGAGGAGGAGGAGGAGGAGGAGGGAGGAGGAGGAGTAGGAGGAGCAGGAGAGTGAGGAGGAGGATGATGATGATGAGGAGGAGGAGGAGGAGGAGGAGGAGGACGCAGACGAGGAGGAGGACGAAGACGAGGAGGAGGAGGAGGAGGAGGAGGAGGAGGAGGAGGAGGAGCAGCAGGAGAATGAGGAGGAGGATGACCAGAGTACGTAAGCCCAGGGTCCGGCAACACGGCCTCCCGTTCCACGCCCCCTCCTCGCGGAACGGAGGCGCGAGCGGGAGGCGGGTTTTTTGCGGTCGCTGCCGCGCGCTGCTGATGTTTGCTCTGTGGCTTCCGCCTGCCCCGAGCCCCACCTGGCACGAAGCTCTTCAAGCTGACTATCGGCAGCCTTGACAGTTGTCCCCAAACCCCTGGGGATGAGGCTCCGCACGCAGTCTTTCGGCGCGAGTGCTTTTGTGCCGCGCGTGTCGCCGACTGTGTGGCACCAGCAGTGGGAGGAGAAGGAACATGATATGGGGGAGATGCGGAGGGAAGATGGGAGAATGAGGGGGAGGGATGAAAAGCAGTAGTACTAGTCGTAAGAAGAATGTGTCAGGGATGCAGAGCGGGGATGGATGGATGGAGGGAGAAGCTCTTATTTATGTAAGAATTACTCATCCAGGCAAGGTGACCGCACATGCACTGCGAGTGTTTCTTGCTCCTTAGAATTCGCAGCCTCTCTTGCAATTCACGTTTGCGTTAGCAGCATTGCTCCCGAGGGAAAGGGCCAGTGTGGACGACGACGACGACGCCGACGCCGACTACGCCGACGCCGACGCCGACGCCGACGCCGACGCCGACGCCGACGACGACGACGACGACGACGACGACGACGACGACGACGACGACGACAGCGGCTGCACGGGGCTGGTCTCGTCTCCGCCGCGTGAGGCACCCCCCTCGGTACGTACCCGGTCGATCTGGGACTCCCGAGGCGCCCAAACAGATAGAGGAGCGCCTCCTCCTTCCCCTCCTCCTCCTCCTCCTCCTCCTCCTCCTCCATCCTCCTCCTCCATCCTCCTCCTCCATCCTCCTCTCCTCCTCTCTTCCCCTCCTCTTCTCTCCTCCTCTCCTCCTCCTCCCCTCTTCCTCCTCCCCTCCTCCCCTCCTCCTCCTCTTCCTCCTCCTCCTCCTTCTCCTCCTCCACCTCCTCTTCCTTCCCCTCCTCCTCCTTCTTTGCTGCACCCTTTGCTGTGCGACTCACGATTTTGCCCAGCCCCGAGAGAGGAGGTGGGGACAGGGGAGGGGAGGCAGAGGGGGGGAGAAGGGGAAGCGAGGCAGGTGCACTCTCGCCCCACACATGTCGCGAGGAGGAGGAGGAGGAGGAGGAGGAGGAGGAGGAGGAGGAGGAGGGAGGAGGAGGAGCAGGAGCAGGAGGAGGAGGAGGAGGAGGAGGAGGAGGAGGAGGAGGAGGAGGAGTTGCCTCGCGATGCTCAACGCCATGCTCGCCACCAGCCGTTTGCAGCTTCAGCCCCTCGATTCGCCCCTGCAGCACGCGAGCCCAGGGGGTCTGGCGAAGAGATGAGGAGGAGGAGGAGGAGGAGGAGGAGGAGGAGGAGGTTGAGGTCGTCACCCACCCTACATTTGTATGTTTTGCATTTTTGGGATGTTTGATGCGTTGGCTGTCTTGGTTTGGGTGAGGCGCCATCTGCAGTTCTTCGCTTGAGGTAACGGTGATCCTGTGGCCGGAGACCCCCCGCTGAGGGACGTCCCGATGTGGACTGCCGCCAGCAACCACCCCGCCCCACGCTTGTTGCCGCCCCCTCACATCTCCATGTTCTTCCCTTTTCGCCTCCTGCCCTCGCCCTCGCCTCCTGCCCACACCCTCGCCCTTTTCTCCCCACCTCCCCGCACCCTCGCAGCCCTCCTCCCGCCCATCTCTCGCCGGACCCTCTGGCCAGCCAGACCCGGCCAGCCATGGCGCGCTCCAGCATGCTCGGCCGCCTCGTGGCCGCCGCCCTCGCTGTGGCACTGCTGAGGCGCCGCTCCTGCTGCTGCTGCCGCCCCTGCGGCTCCTCCATGCGTCCAGCTCCTCCTCCGCGTCCCCCTCCTCCCCCTCCTCCCCCTCCGCCCCCTCCTTCTCCTCCCTCCTCCTCCTCCGCCTCCTCCTCCTTCCCCCTGCCGCCGACCTCCCGAAGAGGCGCTTCCGGGCCCGCGCGCACGAAGGGCGGCACCGGCGCCAGATCTGCCCCAAGAGAATCGACGTGTTGATTTTCGTGAAAGTTGGAACCCCTGGAAATCCAGAGCCTTGCCCAAGGGCCGCCTTCGAATCCCGAGCCGTCTCCCTGCGGCGCTAAGGGTTCGGCGGGGGCCCGCCGGGGCCGCAGACGGCGAGAAGCTTCTGTGCCGGATGTTCCAGTGCGTTGGAGGTCTGGCTCCACCCCCGCCCGCCCAGGACCGTCGCCCAGGGCCGTCTCGCCCTCCCCTGACATCCGGCAGCGCGAACAAGTACAATCGGCCCTCATTAGTAGGTCGACCATGCCAGCCCAAGGGTGCCCTTGTGTCCTGTGCCTCGCGACGCGTGCCTTCTTGCACTCCAATGGCGACGCGGCTCTCGGAAGGGTCTTGTGTCCTCTCGCGTGTCCTGTCCAGTCAAGGTCGACTGTAGGTTTAAGTCGGGCCTGTCCCCCTACAGGGGGATTTTCGACGAAATGTAAAAAAATACACCAGAAATAGTCAAACAATAGTCCAAAAATAGTCTGGGGACTATTGTTGGGGGTCTTTTTTACATTTTTGGCGCATTTTGGGGGTATTTCTAATTTTTCGTCGAAAATCCCCATGTAGGGGGACAGGCCCGACTTAACCATAGGTCACCTCCAGGGCCCCGGAGAGAGCCGCGCCGCGCGCGCCGCGGCCCAGGCCAGGGCGAGCGCCCTTTTTTTTTCCGGGGGCGGCGGCGCGAGAGGTCGCGACGGCGCGAAGATCGTCAGCCGCGCTTCGCGGGGCGCGGGGCGCGAAGTCACGCGGCCCAGGAAAAGTTCACGACCAGGGGGCCGCACGCGAACCCTATACCCCTGCCCCCCGCGACTTCTGAGGGGTGGCGGGTGGGGTTCACTCCGCTCGGGAGCTCCCGAGCGGAGGGAACCCCACCCTCCCCCTCAGGAGTCGTGGGGGGTAGGGGTATAGGGTTCGCATGCGGCCTCCTTAACAACAGCGTGAGACACCGCGCCCGGGGCCCAGGGCCATACTTTTTTGGTTGCGGCGCTCCTGCGAGCCGGATATCGGCCTGTCCGCGCGGGCACCCTTTGCACGTCGCGCGGCGCGGCGCGGGCGCTCCGCGCGGGCGCTCGGTCGGGCAAGCTGGGTTGACGGCATCGCGACTTGCCTGGGTGCAAGAGGGGAAACTGGGCGCCCGAGTTATCCGGGGTAACTCGGGCCCGGGGTAACGCGGGC